AGGGTTCAGGGTATCTCCTAGACGAGCAGTCTCGACTAGAGTCTTCTTACTTGTTTATATTAATCGACTATTGTTCTGTTTACTACTATTACTACTTGTTTCCTAATATTACTATAACTGCTACTATCTATGTCTAATACTACTATTTCTGCAACTACTACTATTTTTGTGCTGCTACTACTAGCACCACTACCATTACTCCTACTCAATCCAAGCTCCTTTTATAACCATAAAAATTCTTTCTTTGTTACCCAGATATCATCGCTTCATTTAATCCTTTCTGTAAATAGTGCCCATCATTCGGCAATTCTCAGTCAACTAAGGATATCTTGGTAGCAAATGAAAGAAGTTATATCCAGATTCTTTCTACCCTTGCTAAATATTTTGTGATTCTTGACTAGAAAACATGAAATTTGGTTCAAAAATATGAGAAACCATCATCTGACTGTAATCTAATTGCTTATCTGACACTCGATCAAAAGCTAATTGCGATTTATTACAAAAAAGTCTGATGGTCTATAAACCATATATGTAATATTCTCAAATATTCAAGAAACCTAGTGCAAATCCGGATATACGTTCTATGTACTCACAGTCCAAAACAAATGAGGATACATATAGGAAATATTTGGCTGCAGATTTCAATTAAATTTATTTCCTGTTTGCTTATTTTTTTATTACATGGGAATCAAAGAGATTCTTGATTCTTGCAGAACAAAGAACATATTATTTGCATATATATGAATGGATATTAGGTATTATAGATAACAAATAAATGAAGTTGTCTGATTTCTCAAGCGGATTTCTGGTATATTCTGCTTATTTTATTATAAATATTCAAATTAAAACATATTTTGGTATATCTGTATTATTATTTCTCATGTATCATATAGGGCATACTGATATTTATCGAATTTACAGCATTTTGCAATTGTGATTGAGCGGAAGAACCTTGTGTGCAAAGGAAACAATGGCGGAAGCGGGCTGCATAGAGGACAGGTCGCAAAAGATATGACATTGATTGTCTTTGGATCCAGTCAGAGGCCGCGCGACAAATGCGAAGATTGACTTATTGACGGAGCGCTGAAGTCCTTCGTCGGATGCCGGAACGCTCCAAAAATGATTACCGGGGTCCATGGAGAAGTGCGAAATGTTTTTAGCCGGATAGTGACGGCGGAAGAATTGTTTGCGCGTGTTGTCGGTCAGTGTGATTCCCTGTTCCGATATCTTTATGTGAACCTCTAAGGGAACTGGTGCCGTCGGGGCTGAGTACATTTCATTGACTGCCTTCCGAACTGCATCGTCTCCGGTGAGGGACTCCATATTGTGCTGGAACAGGTAGAGCACATTGCAAGCGGCACCCTGCGCCAGCACCTGCTTTTGGCTCAGGATCAACTCCTCGTTATTCGAGATTAGTAGCAGATCTCTATCTGGTATAATGAGGGTGGTGGGAAGAGACATCTGGTTGATTGAATGCTCGTATACAAAGGCCGATAAAGACGTAAAGATTGGCTCATTGCTGCATCCCATCAGGCGAACACCCCGATTTGTGGGCTCCAAGAGGAAGTGGCGTACCAACTGGTCCCCGTATCCCGGCCCAGTCACCACGCCAGGCGGCGGCTTAGCTACGCGTAAGACCAAGCCAAATGCATTCCGGTACGTTGTTGAGTTGCGAATGAGAAATGTTCCGGGTCTGGCATCACGCAACAAGTCGACTGCTTCGTCGCGACTCATGTTGGGCTTATACCAAAACTGAGACGAGTCCTTGGCAAACTTAACCAGATGTGGCTCGACTTCCTTGGTATGATTGACAAACACATCGGCTTGCTGAAGAGCCCGTTCCCCATGGTGCAGCTCTGTGCCCTCATCGAACATTAGAGCCTTTGCTGGTTTGGGTGTTGGATACGGGCTGACACATCGCTCGGAGTTCAGAGGTCTCTGAACGTATGGGAACGTTGGAGTTTTCGAACGGGTCTTTTCGACGAGCTGCAATTCCGGGCTCCGTCCTTTGCTAGGCGTACCTAATTCAGCGTCTGGTAGATCGCTGGACTCAATCAGCTCATCTCTAATTGCTTTTCTCTCGAGTAGCGGCGAGTTGAGCCGCTTGTGCAGCTCATCCAAGTCCCGCTGGATCGTCTCATCCTGAGCTAACTTTCTCGCGAGTGCTCTGTTTGCATCTTCCACATGCACTTTGCGCTCCATTAGCATATCTTCGAACTCTTGGCGGGAAGGTGTCTTCCGCACCAACGGGCACGACGCCGAAATGCTGGGTCGAACGCTCTTTCGGGGTAAGGAATGGCTGGCCATATTTTTAATTTGCACAGACTTGTTGTCCGACATGTCAGTGGGCTCATTTGTTTCGACATGATGCAAGTCGCGGGTATTGAAGCCGACCGGAACGTTGCCGTACGTGAAGGGAAGTGCGTCCTCGCGGGCATGGTATGGAATATTATCTGGATCCGGATCTGATTCCGGGTCTGCTTCGAAGGCAGAACCTTGCACAACTCTGTTCAATGGAACAGATGGCTCGCACACCGAGGCCATTGAAAAATAATGTTTCAAAACTTTTGCGTTTATTTTTACGATCCGCAAGATATAAATAGTCTTCTATATGCATACGTATGTATGTCGATGCACAAGTTCTACGGCGAGTAGCGCTGCGCACACGTCCGCCAGGAACCAATTCTGACAGTTGACTAACGAAAACAGCAAAACCATGAACTAAGCATTCGCCACAAAATACTCTTACACATGGTAGCATTATTTTTACAACAAATTTGTGGCCTAGTCTCTGTATATCTAATGTCTATGTATTTATATTTGAAGAACATTAAATCAAATCGTACTGTCTCAAAAATTGACCGTTTTGTTTATAAGCATATATATATAAATCGCCCTAAAAAAGCCTATTCAAAAGCTGAAGAAAGTAAATATTCAAATAGGGCTT